TATGACATAAGGTTGTCTGACTGTCACCGTTTCCCTTCCAGCGTCCTTGGCTGATAGGTGCGTCGCGGCTTGCGACGACGTCACGGCGTTGCCGTTTTTAACGCCTAGAAACCCGCGGATAAAGTATGATAAAATTCTAAGAGATTATTGTGTAAAAAAATTTCCTTTGTTTGTCTACTATTAACATTTATATATTATGACCGTCTCCACGATAATTTCCCTTACACTCCTTTTTAGATTTTTATGACACGATTCTAAAATAACTAAATATTTTTTTTATAATACTTACTAATTGAGTTTATAGATAGTTTATAGATGATATTATGGAAAGTACTTCTTCCGTTTCTTCTATGTTTCTTTTGAATTCTTTCCGTTGTTGGAATTAAGTGTAATTTTTAGTCTTCTGCAAATTTACATGAAAAAATGTTTATGTCTACGTGTCTTGTGCCTGCTAGGATAAATATTAAATAGTATTATTTATTGTCAATTGTTATTTTTTTTTATCCTGCACGAAGACGACGTCGACTGTATCATTTATATTATACATTTACCGTGTTCTATTAACTATAATATACTACGATTTGTCCATTAATATATAAAATGTGAGCATCGTTATTCTGCAGTCAATTATACGTATTAGTGTAATACGTATATTTTTTTGATTTTCTGTCATTCCGCTATATAGAAATAAGGTGTTTATTATGGTCAATAGTCAGTCGTTTGTGTACACTTTTACGAGACTACAGACTATATGACAAGAACACTCGTATATAGTATGTTTCATAATCAAACTTTCATTAGATATTTGATTTTTTTGGCGACTTTTCAACAATTTGGTTAATGTTGTGTATTTATTAATTTAAATTTTAAATCTGTTTTTTCCCTTGATGTGGGAACGTTGGAAATTGTGATCAAGGTTATAATTTGAAAAGCTTATTTTTGGAGAAGAGAAATAATGTGACATGCATTCACCAATAACGTCTATGTACTACATCATATTTACATATTTACATAATAGGGATGAACATACTCGTTTATCATATTTTTACGATTTTTTAAATGATTTTCAACTGATTCTGCTGAGGCGTAGATAATTGTATTCATAGTGTAGCCCAAGTCTTACAATATATTTTTTCAATAAATTTGAGACTTTAATAGAATTATTTAGTTTCACTAGAATAACTGTTAACTCTATCAAACCAATAGGGATAGTTATGATCTATCGATGGATAGATCTTCGATGGTCAAATCACAACATAATTAATAATCTATCCATTTCTCGTATTATTACTGATTAAATAAATTATAGTATGATAAATATTAATTTTATCACACGAAAACGAAGACTGAAGAAAAGATTGGTGCCACCGTGTCCTACTTTCCGTTATAATAAACGGAAATGCTCGTACTGTGCGCTTATGATATTATACAAACGACGATAGTCGAAGACTATTCTTGAATCAGTTAATTTTTGGTTAAAATAATAATCATATTTTATTGTATTGTTTACGATTGTAGTATTTTTGATAAATTTTTTAGTACTTTTTTATTTATATTATTTATGCTGCGAACAGTGGCTAGCGTCAAATCGCTTCATTTGAAACGATGTTTTTTAATCTTTTACTATTATTATTTTTCTCTAACTACTATATCACAAACTGTTTGGTTCAGTTAAAGGATTTATTATCATTTGCATATTCTTATAAAATTCAACATCATGTAAATAAAAATATTTTTTCATAGGTACAAATAGCCAATAGGATTGAAATTTATTTGTAATAAGTATTAATTACTAAAAAGTGATAAATAATAACTAATTTTGTTTTATTAATCGACCATTTGTCATTGTGTCAGTCGTATAATGTTTTTGTCTATTTAAAATATATCCATTAATATTCTATATCCTGTTTTTCAGTTTACTATCTACTTTATTTTTATAGTTTTTTCCTTTTCAATTCTCAAAATTATTTATCATCAGTATTTATGTGGATGCTCGTCTTGTCAAATGTTTTTTGTGCATTTATTTTTTTTTATTTTAATTTTTTATTGCTTATAGTTTTAGGTTTTGAAGGGCTATAAAATGTTATCCCTGAACATAACCGATGTAACGATTTTGTCGTAAACATGTGGTACTGTAATTTTGTGTTTAACTATTACTTTTTTCAAATACATATTATTTATCGTTAAACATTTTACATGATATCATATAAATACGTGATGATGGATTATACTTGAACAGTATAGATATTTGTAATTTTAACGATTTGTATCCTGGGCGTTGGTCGTTGTTACCGGATTTTCAATTTCAACATACACTTAACAATAACAAAAACAACGGAAATAGTTGGAAAATTGACCACGGTTACTATCTTCTCAGTAGATAATATGTAGGACCTAAATTGTTGGTGCTTTTTCCGTGATAATTAACGTATTATAAACTGTAATTTTACTTAATATTATTTAATGTCAACTAAAATCTGCACTGCCATTTCAGCCATTATTTTTTTAGAGTTTTATATTCCAACATTTGTTGTTATCATCGTGTCTATAATTAATGTTACAGGTATTACTTATTTTACTCGTTAATATATGATATTGATTTTTTTTTTTTTTTTGTAATAGATCTATTTATTTTCCATCGCCCAACGCAAAACGCATACCTCATCAACTTGCGCATAATAATATATTACGTTTATAGAACATTATATACCGCTATAAATAACCACCTATTTAGGTGTTGCAATTCAGCAATGTCCATTTGTATAAATCGTAAATCGTATTAAAACACGCGTTCATTTCGATAACGATTAAATGCGTCATGCATATATTTATGCATAATATATTATTTACGCGTTATTATCATTTATCATTTATTACAGAGCGATTGCTTAACACGTAAAATTTCAGTATTTGTCATTACTACTCAAATTGGTGTTATGTGCAGTATTTTTCCAATGTCCAATAGTATTGTCCAATGTCTTATGTTGTTTACCTAGTACCTACCCATAATCCTATTGTGCGTTAATATCATTAATTATTATTATATTTGTTTGGATTTCGTTGTTTTTTGCGTTGCTTAATTTAGAGTGGACAGAGTTCGTGAACAATAATAATGTTTTTTTCTACATTTGTTCCGTATTTTTGAGAAACGTTCACTTTTAATAGTATATATAATGTTATATGTCTGTGTTTATATTTGTACGGCAATTGTGTGCTTACAAATCTTGAACTAGGCCATCTCGACGACGTGGTAATTAGTGTAATAGCCAATAGGTACTTTTTAAAGCATGCGCTAACATAGCGTTAATCGTCCGTTCACATGGTTTAATTAGTTAAAAATTACATTTTTTATGTTATTGATATTCTAACAATTTATGTTTAATTTTTTTTCCTGTTATGGAATACTCTTTCGATTACGATTAAAATTCTTTCGGCTAGACGCACTGCAACTGATAGGTTTATAATGCAGTATTGTAAAAAATTCGACTGTGTGTATAACTATAGGTAGGTACGTTTCTGACGCTTCGATATAGGTACGTATAATATAACCACCATGATATTCATTTATAGGTTACCGTAGCGTAACATACGACTTTCACGGCCGCGGCGTGCCATTATTTCGGGGCTTCCAGACTGGTTCGATTTCGTTCGTTTTATTTATGCATCTGAAGAGAGTGGGTACAGATCAGCAGCAGCAGCATTACGAAACCAGTTAATTAAATATAGTATTTTTTATTTCGCACAGAAGGTCATCGTGTAGAAAATTGTCCGGTACACTCGAACAATTTATTTTTTATTTTTGCGATAAAATGATCGATCGGTGAGACAATGACGCCTTTTGTACGCGCGCTTGTCGGCCGTCGATGGGTATACCTAAAACTATAATATAATAGTATAATATTCTAAATATTGCACGAAATCAGGTCGTCAGCAGTGGTTTGTGCGTGCGTCCGTGTGTGTGCGCGAGCGTGTGATCGACTAGCGGTTTCTGCGAGCTGGAAATTGACCACAGGTTCCGAGACTCAAAATAATTTTTCGGCTGTACCGGATACAATACAAATGATATCGTTCGTGTCCGTCCGTGTTATATGCACAGTTATATTATATTCTCTCGGTGAAGTATATTGTATATATTATAATGATTTGTGATTTTTTCGAAATTTTATTTTTTCATTATTTATATCCTTTACGGCGGAGCGCGTGAGGTATTCCATGTCCTTACGTTCTAGAGGGGTTATGCCGTGACTCCGGACGACAAACTAAAAAATAATATCCACGGACGATTGGTCTCGGTGCGCGTAAAAGAACATAATATTATATTATTTGTACACACGGACGACATCAGCTAATAATGCGTGAAATACAGAAAACAGTTGTGTTCGAAATGCAGGTCTGTTGTTGAACGGTCCATAACGTGTAATGCACACATATTGTATATTTATATTAAAATAACAGGAAAGTGTACTTATATACATTATAATATACTCGTTGTATATGTAACTCGTTCGGTGAACCAGCACTGATTTGTATTGAAATCCAAAGTAATACTATATTGATGTATATAAGTATTTTGTGTGTTTGTAGCGTGAGTGTGTGCCAAATGGACGTGTACGGGGAAAAAATAAAAATTGTATATAATATCCGAAATCTCGCTCAAAGCCCACGGAGGATCGCCTTGAATATATTTTATTTCTTTTGCGAATTTTAATGGTAATATAAGTAATATATGTGATTATTACGATAACCGGAATCGGACGATTCGATGAAATAAGATTTATGTATTGCAATATGTTACGTCGTTATGTACTTAAAATAGTATATTATATGTTACTCTGTGCAAACGAGTTTTTGTCGAATCCGTTTTGGACCATTATTAGCATGTATTTTTTATGTATGCAATAACAAATAACGTTTTTTTTGAAAATACAGCTAACATTTGCTTTTGTGTCAATAAAGTTTCAAATTGGATGAACTAAAACAGTTTAATTTTTTACTTACAGACTTTGAGGGGCCTCGAGCCCCTGTGGGATGGACTGCCGTGGTGACGAGCTCATCCAACACAATAACAGAACGGCGGCACAAGCTGTGCCTTTTCAATACCTCATCAACGAACAGGCAAAGTCTATTCTCGCTCTACAGGTCAGTGTAAAAATTATTTCAATCTTTTTTGTTTTTTTTCAACTAATGTATTACACAAAATGTATTTCGAAATCGATAATTATCATCTCGTTATAGTTGCTTATATAACTTTATATATTCATATGTACGTCGGTATATAACACAATTAATTATAAAGAAGATATAATACAATTAGAGTACTTCTAAATTTTTTTTTTAATATTAATTACATTGGCCTATTACTATTCCCAATTACTAAAGGTTAATTTAATTTTAGTAGATATATTTTTTACCTATATTATATAATGCAAAATGATCTAAGATACTAAAAATGTCGTAAATAATTCTTTCTAATGGAAAGGTAATTTCGTAATTTTGAATAATCTTATTTCATTACGTCAATGTGAACTGTATAATAATTATTTAATCTTTTAGAATAATAGTAAAAATCTGAGAATGCTTTTGATATTAAAAAATTAAATAGATTGCAACATATTCGTATTTTTCTACGTATTTGATTAACTTAGTATTTTGATAACAATACATATTAAATTGAAGCAGTAATAAAATTATTTTAATGTATTCTATACCACACATTTTTTTTAAATATTGATATTTAATAAATATTTAAATACAAAATAATAATTGGTTGTTTTAACATAAGCGAAGATTCTTTACATTAAAATATAAAAATGTAAACTTAAGTTATATTTTTTATAAAGTTCTGATTGAAAATATTTTTTTGGTGTTCTTATATACTATTGATGTATGTTTTAAAATGTATAAATTAAATATTAAGTTTTAAAAAAGACAAAAATTAATCGGAAAACTAACCTATTATTACGTGGTTTATTTGCAATTCCGCTTTCAATTAAATTATTTATTGTTTGTGAAAAATTATTCAAATTTATTTTCCTCTGGACATAATATTTAAAATAAAAAAAATACCCAACATAAGATTATTATTATTTGATTATGAATTATGATAATCTAACACGTGACTTGTATATATGACCCACTTAACCGGTTTGTATATTTTCGACAAATGAGGTAAAACAAAAGTTTTACCTTTCGATTTCCTGTCGATTAAAGCCAAAATTGTTATAATGATCATAAAATAATTTCATGTTTCGAAAGTAAAATCTATGATGTACGGATATAGGCATACAGAGATAACAACAAATTAAAATGTTCAATTACTTTTGCGAGTTATTTTTGATTTATGTTTTTACATTAAATTTTTATAGATAAAACAAAATATTTGTAAAAACCAATTGTAGGTATTTTTTTTTATATATTTTTATTTCGCATAAAAATAATAGGTCAACTCTTGTTTTTTTGTGGTTAAAAACTAAAAAGTAATTATATTTTATTTGTGCATTACCTAATATTGAAAAATTTATCAAAACCAAAAGTTTTTTTTTTTTTAATAATGAATTTAATGTGTTTGTAAAATAAAGTATTACGCTGCAAATTATTAAGATAATATTTCACGATATTGAACAATGGACATGTTGTATCATTCAAATTTATCTATAAATTATAATTTTATGTGGTAAGTAATTTAACTGTTTATACATGATATCAAATTATTTAAATTATTTTTCTATAAATAACAAAATATATCATCTTGTGTCGTATGTCTTTTCTAATTTAACATATATATCTAAACGCATAAACACTGTGTTTTTCCACGTACTTAGGTTTATTTACGATATCACCAGAATTGTGTGCTTATATAAAAACTACAATTATAATAATAAAAAAATGTTACTAAGATTTTATCAATTAAAAAAATCAAGCAATTTTATGTTTTATTATTTTTTTTTGCAAGGTTTTCTATTATTTTCATTATGTGGTCACTTATAAGTTAAAACATTCATAGTGAGAGTTATATTTTAAATTAGTATTGTTCTTTTAATTTTAACAGACCTTGAAATGTATTATTACTATCAATAAGTTTTAATTCAATGGCTTCGTGAACGATTTATTATTATTTTTCGTAAATAATTATAAGTATTATTGTTATTATGACTATTAGATACTTACTATTATTTTTAATGAGTTAAAACGTACAATCATCATAATGGTGGGTTTGACATTTATTTTAAATACCTACAAAATTATTTCCTTGTTAATATCTAGTATGATTTGTTCGAGTGTTAATTAAAAGTACTTATGTTAAATACTAAATTTACAGTATTATACAATATTTTAGTTTTGAAGTTATATTTTTGGTCCAAATGATTATGTTTTTAACAAACGCGTTACACCTAAAAAATGTTTCTTTGTATAAATCGCACGTGCGAACTCGTATATTTTACATATGATGTGTAATCTATAAAGAAATACAATGTGGGTTTATATTATAGTGCGTTTTTAAATGCTTAATAATAGAAACATTTTTAATTTGGTTTTAATCATAATAAAAAAGTTTATGTGTAGATAATGGTACACACGATTCGTCTATAATTCTATATATGGCTCGCAGGTACATTATGTTTACGGTTTGAATCCCACCAATTGAATAAATAAAACCTATCCGTTTGATGTTTTTGGAATAGAAGTACATGTGCAGGCCATGATAGCGAATAATTATTATTTTTGACCGAATCTCAAGACCAACTATGGTTTTGTTCAGGAAAATATTTGCAAACGATCTTCTTCGTTGACGTGCGCACATATTATATATGTACCTATTACGAAGAAAAAAAAGTGGGACGCGTATAATTATAATTTAAACTGTGCAGTTTATTGTTGAAAATGTAAAAATTTTACTCGTTGAACCAATAATAATATACACCGCATATATACCTTTATTTTTTATAGCCCGCTCTAACACGTTTTAGCAGTATTTTTCGCATGGCCATAATAAAATAAACGTAGTTAATAAGTTCGTTCTCGCAGACCTACTCAATTACCATAATATTAATACATTATGCATTATTTATCGTCTGACGCATGTATCGTTTGAAAATGTTTCAGGAATTACAGAATGAGGTCGGCGCGCTGTTGGAGTTTAGGGACCTGGTCATGGACACGTTCCCGCACCTGCGTCACAAGCAGGCGTCCAGCCCGGAGCCGAGCTCCGGGTCGCAGGGCGTCGGTTCCGGGGAGAGCCGCTGGGAACCCGGGGTGCGGGTCCGCCGGAAGTTGCAGGGCCCCTCGTCCGGATGGATTGCCGGCGGCGGCGGCGGGGGCGGCGGGTCCGGTGGCGTCGGACTGGTGGCCGCGGCCGGGGCGGCACCGCGCGGTAAGACAGCAGCCCACGAGGAAGGGGAAAAGCGGCGAATATGGCGGCCACTTCGTCGGGTGGGCACCGTCACGGGACAGCGGCTTCTGCACGGAGAAAACAAACGCGCTCGACCAGGTTCGCGGACGACGTGACCCAAGAACGCAGCGACACGGCCGACGACGAGCTGTGGGCCTGCTGGAGAGCATCGGACAAGGGCCGCAAGCTCAAGCTGGAGTGGGTCGCTGCAGAACCGACTGCTGGTGGACGACGGCGGAGCGTCGGCGCCGAGCGCCGGTTCGGTGCCGCCGTGCCGGGTGGACGACACCAGCCAGGGCCGCGCACGAGCGACGACGCGCGCCGCCGCCGCCGCCGATTACGACGTGTTCGGGCGCACGGTGTCGGACGTGCGCGAACAGGACGCGCGGCTGCTCGACGGGTCACCAAAGGCGGTAGACCTGTCGGCGCAGCGCATGCGGATCCACCGGCGCTCGCCGACTCAGGCCGTCGTGTGCGAGAACAGGGAACTCGAAGAACGGCTGTGCGGCGGCAAGTCGCCGTCGGCCGCCGCCGCCATAGCCGCCGCGACGATCGCGTCGAGGAAATCGTCATCTAGTCATAACGGCGGCGGCTTCGCCCCGGTCCAGCCCGAATCGTCGACGGGGCCCAGCTCGTCGTCGGCCGGCCGCGACGCGTTCTACACGCCCAGCCAGCATTCGGCCTGCAACCTGTCTTCCATCGAACTGCAGTGCGGCCAACTGCGCGACGGTTCGTCGTCGTCCGCGTCCTGCGCGTCGTTGTCTTCGTCGTCGTCCGCCGTCGTCGACGACGACCGGGATCGGGACCGTCACCGGTCCAGGAGAGTCCTGCTGGTCCGGCCGTCCGACCCGATTTCCCGGAACCTGGAGGGCCGCGCTCAGTCGCCGGCGGCGTTGGACACGGGGTCGCCCACGTTCGCCAAGCGGTTGGGCGCCCTGGACGGCGTCGTCAGCAGTCCCGGCGACAGGATTGACAAGCCGCACGCGCCGGGATTCGGCACGCCGTTGCCCAAACAAACGCTGGCCGCCATACTCAAAACGTTCAATCCCATCGAACTCCAGCGTCACCTCATCACCTTGTCCTACGAGAACAAGGTGAGCTATATGCAATACTGCGGATTATTTATAAGACAAAAAATTAAGTTCTATCGGAAATAGCAGTGCCAGTGTAGTAATATAAGTGTTCAAAATGATTACACCCACGTCCGTATTGATTATTGTATACAGCTGTTACGGATCGGTTTTATATCTATGTTTTTTTTTTTTTTTTTTTTTAATTAATTTTGTTCTTACCGAATGCCCAAAAGAGAAGTATAATTAACGCAGCACCGTGTTACTTATAAATAACAGTTTTTGTTAAGTAGCCTACTATATTAGTGGTTGCACCTCGATATCTTCTGACATAGATTCGGCACTGATTCTGTTCTATGATGAAAAACTCCGTCAAGTGGGAATTTATTTATAATACATTATAATATCGGTAATAATACAAGAACTAAATTTTTTTTTTTAATTTTGGTATTCCGCTGAATGGTAGTAGCTAAATCTTTTTTTAACTACATTCGCGCATTACTTTTTGGGTTTGCATTGTTTTTGTGTGTTTTTCTTTTCTCATCGCTCTCTTACAATATTATTATTGTTTATGATGAGTCATCGCTCGTCATCTTAGATTTTTTTTTTACTTTCGCACCTTCTCGTACGTCCAGAATACGACTCATAATTCTGTTTTTCCCTTACAAAATGATACAGCTGAAAGAGAAAAATACATATATTATTATAACACTAATAAATGTTTTAAAATGGTTCCAGTTGACAACATTTTTAAGTATGCTCTCGTCCTTCCTATAAATAATGTATGATATATACATTATCTCTAATACGATTTTCCTTGTGCAGTATTAAACATATACGATTTCAATTTGCAACAACTATTTGCTTTGATACTTTCTTTGCGGTTAAAAGGCATGCTAAAAGTTTTCTATTCGCAAACACAGTTCGATTCAATACCACACGTAATCTGCAGGCTGTAGAGAAATCGAGAATAAGATCAAAATGTAATTTATGTGAGCGAATGTTACGAGGGATTTAATTATGTAGAAAACCTATCTGAAATTATATTTACATTTAAATCACGTATTTAGCTCTGACCATAATGTAACTCAAAATCGCCCACAATGAGCGGATACAATTTTCTTTTGAGGATATTGTACGTGTTATATGAATTTTCACTATAAGATTTGTGGTCAATAAGAAAATATGTCGAATTTTTTCTCTTATTCTACCATACGTTGTATTACATTTTATTCTAATGGGCAATGACGATTTGAATATAATTTATGTTTCATTGCTTTTACATTAGTGCATCTAGCTGTTGGTTACAATATAGTAACACTTTTATTAAACAGTTAAAGATGATTTATGATTATTTATTTTAATTGCTTCAGACTTTTTCTGGACACGCTCCCAAACCCGCATTAAACACTTTCGATAAATACGCGTTGAACGTCATTACTCATCAGACTGTAATAATTTCGGGCGCAGTTAAGTGCTATATATAGAAGATAAATGATTGTAGTGATGCTACGATGTTTATAAACACAATATAATATAATTTCTTAGTGATTGTATTAGAGTGAAGATACATGGGGGTGTCCGATTAAAAAATTTTAAAAACTACGCTCAAAATTAGAAAGACTGTTAGGTAATATTAATCGACCGCCCACTGGTTTATAGAACCCCTTTTGTCGTGTAGTATACGTTCGCATTATTGTCGTTATTATTATTATTATTAATAATGCGCTATACAAATTTTGTTTTTGAACCCACATTGACATATATTTACATTGAAGTTTCAAGTTCGTCACAAGTTGACCATATACGTGCACTACGAGTGGTGCATAAACCTACGCGTTTCCAATTTATTACACCTAACCTATTATTGTAGTGTGTATAGTAAAGGTCTTCATTGTTTCGACTTTTAATTTTTTTTCGGTAGGCGGATCGTATTGCTGTTTTAATATTTCATCTCTAAACACGCATACGAATATGATTATGCACTTTTCAAGGATACAACGTTTATTTATCTCCACAACGCATGATTTATGTGTATATATACTTTGTCATCGAAATGCAATAGTAATAAATCGCTGTATAGAGCCGATAATAATTAATTATTCCGTGGCGATGACGACGACAATATTATTATTTCTGTATTTTAGAATATTACAGTAATGAATTCGTATAACGGCCGATGTTGTTTTTAAACGCTGTTTTAAGCGTATAGGATCGCAGATGATTCCTGAATTCGAATACGTTTTTGTTTGAGAAACAATAAACTTTAGGTCTTGTAGGTAAATACTAAATAGGCATACAATTGGTTATATATATGGTTATGTAACCGTGATTCTTGAACACAAAACGAAAATCCTAACTGTAAAATATAATATAGAGCGTTTTACCTACCTAGCTACCAAACATCAAGTGTACAGCATCAATAGTTTATGACGTATTATTTATAATTTATACTCATATACTATTGTACCGGCCGCCGGATATTTAGTAACCGAGCCAATTAGAAACACAGTCTTGGTCATCTGGGACACCGCGATGGTGATGCAGTAGTGTATAAATGTATAGTTGCAACTATACTAGTATCGAGCATTCGTATAGAGTTTCTGGCCCGACAATAATTAACTGACCTCAGATCGTACTCGTGAATGTGTGTGAGTGTGTGTGTGTGTGTGTGTGTAAGTAATATATACTTTTGCAATATTGACGAATTGTATTAACGTTATAATAAATCTCTGTGTATCTGTATATAGTACAGAGAATGAAAACGGGCCAACGCCCTTCGACGAGATTAAAGCAGGACTCACAACGTTTGACTTAAATGAATGAGAGGGAAAAAACACTGTAATAATAATGTATTATGGCTACACGTTACACGTAATCCAGTTCTAGTCTTATGATATGACTCTTTTTGTGTGTTCAGTCGACGCGTACTAGATTTATGGGGTTTCGATGACATTGGCCATGATGGGTTTCGCGGTACGCGTCTATGTACGTATTTGAGCATTGTACGATATATAATAATATTTAATACGTACGAATGTAATATACGATTACACTTTTGTATGACACACACACACACACACGCTAATCACACAAAATCGATTGATGGCTTCGAAAACGTAGGTATGTGACTATTATAGAATTGCTGCTAATAGTCATTATTGTTATTAATATTACCTATTTTTTATTATTTTTTATTTATATATCAAATATCAAATTATATTATTGTGTACAATACATTTTGATTTTAAAATCTATAAAATTTAATTTAATTTAAGGAGTTCAAACCTCAGTACAGTGTTCTTTAATAATTTGATAAATTCAGCGTGACATATATTATTAAATACTTTGCTAAGCAATATGCGGAAAACTTAAACATATCGTTAACTCGTTTTGTTTTTCAGAATCTCGTCCGTCAAATGGAGATGTTAAACATTTCGAAGAACAGCGTTTCCAACGAGTTGAACAAGAGCAGAGAGGACAATGAAGAACTGAAATTCCAAGTGAGTGATGTGCCTCGGCGACGCTAGTGGCGCAACGGTGGAGGGGTTGACCGCGTATAATGGAACGATGACGTCATGCTTGTTTGTTTTAGCTGGAGGAGAAGCGCATCGAGTTGGAAGGTACCATGGCCCGGGTGAGGTTGTTGCAGTTGCACCAGGAACAGCAGCAACACGGTCCCGTCGTCGCCGGATCGCAGTTGGCCGGCACCACAGCCGCCACCACCGCAGCCAACAACCAGTGGCTGGACTTGGTGCCATCGAATCCGATTTTACCTCAGATCGCATTGCCGGGAACACCGTCGGCAATGGTCTCCACACTGCACACGAACAACAACCACCTGCAACAGCACCAACACCACAACAACCACCACCTCAACCACAGTCAGGACGAGAACGGCGGCAGCAGCAGCACCGAGTCGGCGCATCAGACCCGCGGCGGCAGACATGGTACGCAACATCAGCCCAGCAAGATACCGGTGGTCAAGTCGTGCCCGGTGCAGCCGAGGCCGACGTCGTCGCACCGTGGCGGTGACGCACAACAGTGCCAGTCGTGGACCAAGTGCAAGTCGGACCAATCGTTGCCGCGCAACTGGGAGTCCATCAACAACAAGAGCAACGGCGGCTCGTCCATCGGAAGTGGCGTCGGCGGCAGCAGTGGCGGCGTCAAACAGCGCGGTAACAAATCCGCGGACTCGTCACAAAATCACCACCTCCAGCAGCACAGGTCCCGAAGGGATTCGGCCGGTGGCGGAACCTCCCTGACGCGAGCCAGATCGCAAAACAATTACGCGCACCAGCGCGGCGGTTCGTCGGTGGCGGGCGGCGCGACCAAAGACTTCAACAGGACCGCGGCGGCGGCGGGTCATCAGCTGCAGCAGCTGCAACAGCCGGCGGCCGACGATACCAACAAGGTACGGCCGGCCAAGAGATTCGCCAACATGTTTAACGGTTGGATACGGAAATCCTAACGGAAGGCTTTTAAACACACACGCTCGATCGTATATATATATTATATACCGTAACATCAAATAATATATGCCCACGACTCATCCGATTCCACGACATGTGCGCATGCGCACGTTTTCAAACACATAAACATATATACCTACATATACACACACATACAAACATATATATATATATATATATAAATATCGCACACTACTTAGGCGCACACACACACGCACACGCCGATAAGTCAAAATAGTGTATGTATATAATATAATATGATGTGTGTATGTGTGTGTGTGTGTGCGTGCGTGCAGAGCCCGCTGCGAAGTCAACGAATATAATATTTATCATCTTTATATACATATATACATACATACTTACTTATATGAATGGTATCCGTACACATTTAAGTGCGTGTTTTACCTTTATATATATATATATATATGTATACACATTTCGTATATTTTATATTTTCGCACTACACTGTTGTTTTCGATCACCGATCACACATCGCAGTCACCAAAAAAAAAAAAAAATCTGTTATATAATATAATATACGAAAAAGGATTAGCTTTCCGACGTGTGCTTGTTTGCTTCTTTGGACATTACGCAGTAAAACAAATATACATAGTACATATACATGCATATATACGCATACCGTGTCCCCGCGAATACCACACACGTTCACACTCGACGACTCAAGTCGGCCGAAACCCGTAAGTCTGATAAATTTTTTTTTTTTGTTTTTTTTTGTTTTTTTTTTTTTTTACTAAGTTTCAAATTTTACATAACCGTCTTCTTGCCCTTTTTTTTTTTTTTTTTTATATACACATTATTTTATAGAGTTGTAGCTTATTGCATGATGTTTAGGCCTCTACTCACGCACAATACCCCTCCGTGTGCAACACATCATTGTTTTAAAATTTCCCACCTTACACGCGTGTTATGGATACACTTCGGCGATTTTAGACATTTTATTATCGAGCGTACACTTATTTATGCGTAATTACGCACATGCGTCAACAGACGTGACAGTATACTTTTTTAGTTAATAAATGGGTAATAGAATCTCATCGTATCGCCATCTGTTACTGTAGATTATGGATTATTAATATTTCGAATTCGATCTGCGTACTGATCATTTCGGAATCGTTCGAGTTGTTAGTTTTTCGCTTAATTTTTATTCACGTGAAAGTTGAAACGTTGAAATCGTCAACGGGAATCCGAACTCTAGTACGCTCTAAAATATGACCACGATATTATATAGCCGAACAAGGAGGTGCGTTTTTGGGCGAAAATTCGCCTCGCTTCAATCCTCTCAAACCGCAATATATATATATAAGCGTTTGCATCGCACCGCGCTTATTCGATCCGCACGATCTAATATAAATGATAGGTATATATTATTATTATCGTTGCCGAATAACCGATTTTCGATTTGCCTTGAAATCGTGTAAATCTGGAAAACAACGGCGCGGGGCAGCTACTGTGCAGGATCATCTACCGCGGTCGCCGTCCGTGTCCGTCCGCGCGCCGTACGATGAATCCGTTGTTCGTCGCGAGGTCGATTTACTATATTATTCGACGGCGAACGCGTCACGTATTTTTCGAACTTTTAATAGGATTTTTTTTCCGCGTGCCGGTCCGATTATAATAATGAAAATCTCGTCGTATAATACGCGTATGTGGACAATAAAAGTAATAATATTTTAACGATATTTCGATGCGCCACGGTCCGTTAATTCTTTTTAGCGTCTGGTTAGCGATATAACTATATAATATAAAATAATATACAATGGACCCTATAGTCATGTATATCTCATATGCATATACAATATACGCGCGCATGCGTGTAGTTTGTATACATACACGACTGAGACAGCGAGAGAGTGCAGTAATCGAGAAATTCAAGGCCCATAGTCGTCGTCGTTGTCGTCCACCACCATCTCATCTCCCCGCGCACTGCAGCCGTATTAATAATTATTATTACTACAATGATTTGTTTGTTCTTTTATTTCATTCGGTTCTTTAATTTTTTTTTTTTTTCTCTCAACTTGAAATCAAGGACAAAAACGGTACCCACTGCAGCAGTTTATACACCCATGTAACGAATGTATATTATATTTATAATATATAGTCTGCGTCCACGCGTGCCCGACGTTTATAACAATTTTCCGTCGTACTTATGACATGTATAGATACAAACCGCAACGTCTGCAGCGTTAATTTTTAATTTAAATCTTTTCACACAAGACGATTTATCTCCCCCCCCCCCCCCGCCCTTGCTCTCCGTTACTTTCTGCTTGTTCCTGCGTGACGAGACGACAACGACATAATATTATATACTATATCGTGCGTTTATATATTATTATACGGACATCGCCAGTTTCGGTTCGAACACGCGCCGTTGCCGCCGCCGAGGGAAAATTTTATCAATATTATATTTATGTTATATAGTGTTTTCAAACGGTGCCGCCGCCACCGCTTTTTTACAACGCGCCGTATACCTACGTCTCGAAATTGATTTGCAATTATCAGAAAAACCAAAAACAATTCGACACAAAATCGCTCGTGGAGTTTAAATTGCGGTCCGTCATCGTTATTGTACAATAATAATTGTACTCGGCGTCGGTTTTCGACTATGTCCATTTGTCCGCGCAATTTATTGTTGTCCGGTGTTTATTAGTACCTTTATGTAGGTGTATACAATATAATAGCTGCGTACTTTCTACTTCCGTTCGATTTCCGGCTGTGCACTGACTGACCTTTATGTAGTCAAAAATTCACTATATAATGTTTGGACTGCAGTACGCATAGCGTGTCATACAGTTTTGTACAGATAGTATAGTCCATTGGGATTAGTAGTGCACTAATAATACCCTATGATTCGTGTGATTGAAAAATAAGTTTTATTTTTTCCTAGTGTAATTTTAACTATAAATGTATTTCTACTTTTTAAATTCCAAATAAAGTTTAAAGATCAGCGAAGTAGTTCACCAAAAACTCGAGGGGTAGTATCTTCATTATTTTAATCCTCCTTGCTTAAAAGCAAATACTTATTTGGTAATAAGAACACAAAAAAACGTTTAGAAAAATATCAAAAAAATTCGATTTGATTTTGTGAATGTGTAGCGTTCCGAATAATAAATTACTTCAAACCACAGAAAAACCTTTTCCCTTTTTTCTAAATCGTTTAATGACTAATCGAATAATTAGTGTAGCTGGTTACACCGAACACCTGTACATTACATACGATCTCGTAGTGTGTACTCGTATTATTTGTACTTAGAAGTAGTAACAAATGTAATCAAAAAATAGATACGCGCGTCAAAAAATATATATATTATATTATACGGTCCGAGAGAAAATATGTTTTCGCATCGATTATGTTATTGTTGTAGGTACATTATGTTATTATATACGTGTCGTCATCAGTTGATTATTACACACATATAAATATAACGTACACGTATGTATATAAATAGTTATTAACAACGAAAATAAATACTTTTTGCTCATTCAGCGCGGACGAGATTTCTAATTATATTCATTTATTATTTCTATCGCAGCTTCTTTTCAGGTATATGATAATAATAATTTAACACAATTTCTTCGTGAAATCGTTTCGGAAATAATAATACTTGTTACGCATTTTTATGACGCGATACTCCGGTACACTATATTATAATATGTATTATATACAATTAATACCTCTAACATTTTCGTTTAGACGGACAAATCACAGTATCTGTACGATAAAAATTGAAATCGTTGCTAATTGCGTCGCGTTGTTGTCCAAAAACCGACAGGTCATCGATAATATTATTCGTGTTTCGGTTCTTCACAGTTTTTTTTTACCTAAATATATAAAGTCGGAATATTAGCCGTCCGTATACGACCGGAAATTGTCACTTCCTGATTGCTATGCACATTACAAAAGCGCACGTTCCGCTCGTCCATCGGCCCGCATCGTACATAATAATTTTTTTTTCATAAAAATTTATTAACAGATTAGCCGTTCATCTTTGTTATATACCATTTACAACATACCTATGCCATGTACCGCAATGATGTATTATTAAATCGCAGTAATAATAATGGCCACTGTGCCTAAATCGTGTATTATTTGTATTATAAACTCTCGCTTGTTCATACTCAGTTATCGCGTTCGATTAATGATTTTTTTTTCTATTATTATTTAGTGATAAGATTATAATATAAAAAAAACGAAAGTCGAAACATTAAATACGTTAATTTTGGACGAAAACACAGCTGCAGATTAATATATAATATTTATACCTTTGTTTGTGTACAATTTGTGTGTGTGTGTGTATGTTTTTTTGATAAAATTGCAATTCCGCCGGTATCTATAATGTATTATTTGTATATATTTATATATTATATATTATATATTATATTCTGATATTTTCTTAATTCGCGTAGAAAGTCACGGTTATCCGTATTCATTATTTTTAAGCCACGAATAATTACGCGAATAAACAGCAATAGCTTGTACATAGCATTTTCTATTCGGACAAGATGAATGAAATTTTCTTACGTTTAGAACATATAATCTCATTTATTATAGATTACCATGTATCTATACGACTATACATCAATTGATTGTGGTTTTATAGTAGGTGTACAGTGTAAAAATTGTTACTAATTTCGTTGCTTTTCACCACGTTTGGAAAAAGTTTTTCACATATACATATGCAATTTACTATAGATAATCATAATACTATAGTTTTGGAGAAAATCGCAATATGGGTACGTTCCTAATCATTTTCTTAATTTTACACTTCGTTTTTTGTAAAAAAGATAAGATTTATCGTGGTATATTTCATATATTATAAGCGGCCCACCGAGTTTTCCTCAGTAGCTCACCAGACCAATCCGGCCCTAAATTACGCAGTATACATATTATGAGCATATCATTTATTTTATTTTTTTAAATTGTAATTTATATTACATACCTTAAGATCGTAATATTTATAAACATATACGAAGTATAGTGTGTTTTTACATAACTATTTGATTTTTAATATTGCAATACAATATTATAATACCTATGGTATAGTATTTTAGTATATTAATGAATGGTCATTTTGAGGACAGTGTTACATATTATAACAGAGTTACTCATAATTCATAAATATAATAAATTATAACATAAATATTTTAATTTGCCATCGTATAATGTGTATAGATGCGTTAAGGACCACAAAAGAAAACGTATTCGTTTTTTTATGCGGCTTGTGTTAACCTACTTGGCGTGCGCGTATAGGTATATAAGGTATAACACATAATCTTCTTTCGATTTTTATTTTTTATTTTTTTTTTTTTTTTTTGTTAGTTCGTTAATATATAAATATATATATAATACCGCAGCACGTATCGTAGTTTCATTGGATCAATAGCATTGTTCAATTATAAATAATAATAATAATACCAACTACAAAGCTGTCGGTTTTTTTTTTTGAGACGTTTCACACTCGGTCCGTCACAGATTTCCCAAACGTATATTTAACTATAATATAAACCTATATAGAACCGATAGACCTGATACATCATATTATTATGGTTTAGACATACATTTTTATGTGCTACATGCGTGTTATTTTACGTCGTGCGCGCATCGCGGTCGCATCTTTCGTGTGTCTCTGTGTAACGCACTCAGTAAATTGCTACTAGATCTTATATGATTGTGAATTCGTGTGATGACAAAGTGATTTAGTGATGGCCGACGAGGATATAGTTATACAGTATATTTAAGTAGTTGAGTGTAATAAACTTCTACTCGCAATTTCGCGACGTAAGTACATGCCACTACGACTTCGGTAAGGTTTTGTATTTATAATTACCGCGGAATAAATCGAATCCGTTAAAAATATCTAGCGGAATATAATCGAATGACATTGTTTCTGCAGTGGTTGTATAAGCGCGTGTTTTGAATTGTTGTATAGATATACATATTTGTGCTATGGTATGACGCGAGTAGTAGTGACAGGGAAGGAGGTGATATGCTGCTGCGTACACGTTGTAAAATGTCGTTAAAAACTCGCAGGAGAGAAATCGTTAATCATATTAGCCGATTACCAAACGCTGTTCCTGAGGTCATCGCGCTCAGCGACAGGACCGTATCCTATAAAAGACGTAGTGATAAATATATATTTAATAAATTAATAAATTCGTTTTAAATAACTAACTTATCGTTTTTGTTTTTTTTTTTGTTGTTAGGAAGAAGAGAGAATTTTTAATAATCAGATATGAAATATAATTGTATTTATTTATAACGTAAAAAACCATCCATTGTAACGAAAACAACTCCAGAAAATGAGTTGTACCCGGGAAATCACCCCCCTTACTTCCATACTAAACGGACGATGATGACGAGTACATGCGAAATAATGATAATATTATATAAGTACCCGGGTACACACGTCAACAGGTTTTACGGACTGTAAACTGTAAATATTATAATTTATATAGGAAACTCTCATGTATTATATAGTATATAAAATATATATGTCGTCGCTGTTGCTTTCGGATTGCGACACCAATTTATAATAACAACCGCGCGCGTTTAGCCGACCGTGTCTTCCTGTGCAGGTCCGCACTTGTGTGTAGGTACGTATACAACGATACAATGTTGCTCAAAAACACGTAGGTAACCTAAACAAACTAATATACAGGGTACATTTTCGTGCTTGACCCCGTTAACGATGTATACTTGTATCGGTAATGGACACGTATTATTTTGGTTTGCCTAAAATCAAAATCGCTTGCGTTTGTGTTAATCGAAAAAAAATTATCTATTTTTTATTTTCCGACTAATATCTTTAATTCCTCTTGGATTTCGCGTGTTGATATGTTTCTGTCGAGTTGGTACAATTTTCAAGTTTTTTTCGTTAGAAATAATCATGATAATTTTTGAAAAAATGCATACAGTTTTTAACACTTTACAAGTCTGTTGCGTTAACGTCTCGATAATAATTTCTTAACAGGGTGAACAGCATGACGAGGAAACACACATCCTGTGTACGCGTAAATACCACTCGCCTCGCATAGAAATATAAAACGTGTAATGTGCGCAGTACAGCGTAAAGCGTTTATCAAAATAATCTTTAGTCGTCAGAAACTTCGCGCGTGCTGCTCGGTGTGTGCTTAATGTATGAACGCAATATCTATACTGCAGTGTGCTTATTAGTTATTATATTATATGCATGTGTGCGTGTCCACATTTAATTCGCAGGAACCAGCCGGAAAAAAATAATTTGCCTCCTCCGAGTCTTAGTCGATTTCCGGATAAGTTTATATGTCACGTCGCTAATCTCCTCATTCATATCGCATTCAACGACGTACAAAACATAAACATAATATCGTACATTCAGCTCAGCTGACGCGTGTTTAACATTTTGTTCTAATCATAATTATTTTTCAAAACCTTTTTAAAAGCCCGTCTGTTAAAAAAATGTTAAGTGCCTACCTATGTATACCGTTGACTAAACATGAGAAAATATAAATTCTTATCTTATTTGCACCACTATACTCTCGAGATGGCCCGTTTACTCGCCGAGTTGAATTATCGATTTCTCTCTATTCGTGGGTACGTTATAGGTACTTCGCATAATGTGTACAAAACGGGTATGTTTATTCAGATGTAACCTAGTCTGCAGATGAACATTATAAATAATATTTGCCTATTTATGCAGTATTTATCAGATTGATGGACGGGCAAGAGGACAAAAACGCCGTTACAAGATACGTTTATTATATATATATATTGTATAGTTATAGCGAGTTTTAGTGTTTTCGAGTTTCGCAGATGACGGTTTAAAAAAATAAATATAAATTTAATATTATATTTTCTATCTCTACACGTTATTAACCGTTGTGTACGTTTAATGTTATATTTTGCAGTGCGTGCACCGTTGACTCCACGAGATTCGTTTCCCAGACTTCGTTTTCTTTTTCACGATAAACCGACCCTATCATACGTGTACCGTTTTTATCGCGAAAAGAAATAAATATCTATTAAACACTTGCTGCATACAGGGCGCACCTATATAATGATGTTTCTGCAGTATAAGATTTCCCTCGACGATCACGATTCGCCAGCCAAAAACGTACTTTGTACTTTTTCGACCGTATTATCAGCTATACTGTATATAATAATATAATATTATACAAGTATATAATAGTGTAAAGTGATATCCTATATTGGTAAGATTTTGATATTTTTTCCAATCAAAATCATTCGTTCGCGTGCACACACGAACATCTACACGCAATCGAGTAAAAATGATTTGACAACAGAACAAAATCTCTCCACGAACGTACCATATTATAAAACCGTCGAAAAGGAAAATCGCGTAGTTGCTCTCGCGCGCTAACGCTCGTCGCATTCGATTACACGTAATAATGCAGTATCTACGTATATACTTATAGCTTAAAATAGTATATAACATGGTATAATTGTACAATAATAACGAATAAGGTAGTTGTACTTATACGTCTGAAATTGGCCGACCGTCTATATAACTTCTAAATGATATGTATATACCTACAACGTGTACTTGCCGGCTAGATACGATACAATTTGTTTAACCGTGGCCGCCTAAACTTAACATAATATACTAAAGTTGTTGCATAACTAAATGTCTAAATAAGTTCTTAAATAATACCCGTTGGTACCAGGTTTTTACGTTACGTAACCCAAAAACAAACACTTTTAAGAAAAAAAAAAATTATTAAAATCGTGACAAACTGTGCGGTAGCAGGCTAGTATTAGTATAGTATATTTAATATTATAACGAGACTCTAACATGCATCATGGGTAATTCGAAAAAAATTGCGACGTGGTAATAACAATCTCGTGCTAAGACTATAAGACTTCCGCCGCGTGCAATCGTATATTATGATATTTTTGTATACCTGTTCTATGCAAGGGTGGCTCAGTAGGGGAGGAAGGATCAATTGCAAGAGTGTTTCTCACCTATACGCCGATCACTATTCTACGCTCGCCAATAATAATTTCATTGCAGTGCTGACCTAGTGACTCATCGTTACCTATTAATATAATAATATTTTTATATTGCGTGCATTGTTATGTAATAGAATGATGTACATATTATATAGATACCTAGTACCTACCCATAATAAGTGTATATTTTTACGTCGGCAGAACATGTAGCTAACATTTGTCTTTAAGACTTAAATGTTGAGATATGAGAGTAATTAATATAATCTTCTCACATGCACTCCCTACCAATCTGCAGCTATTACACATACTATATGCATACTATATGACGCTTATTATTGGTCTTACTTTCGGTTTTAATTTTTTTTCTCATCAAAAATCTAACACACGCTTTACTTGCATGTACATACTATATAATAATGTTATGATTTAATACATACAATGGTTTAATGATTGTGGTTCTTGATTTTTACGGATTTTTTTTTTCTCCTTTTTGCACACAGCCCGCTGCCAAGAAACTCTTTCGACGCCGTAACCTCGTACGGCAGAGCCGTGGCTTGATGGAAGCCTGCAAGAAGCCTGTCCTGCCGGCTGTCGACGAAGTACAAGAGCCCCCGGACTCCATGGCCGTCCGACTTCGCGACTTAGACGACGGGGACGACGACGAGTTTTTCTTCGACAGCATCGAAAGTAGTTTGGCCACGAGCGCCTGCAGCTCCAGACCACCGCCGCCCGAATGCGATTCCATCGATCTATCGCAACCCGACTCGTCGTTGACAGCCTCTTGACAGATGACGGTCTTCCGTCATAATAGTAGTATAATTATTATTTATACTTAAAAAATATACACTTTGCCTATACGACGACGAAATAGAAAGAAAAAAATGTTGTATTTTGCCATTTTTTTTTTTTTTTTTTTTACTTTCGTCTTTATCACATATTATTATGTAATATATAAATCGTCATCTCCCCATGTAACGCAACACACTTATCATCATCATTGACACCATCAAAAACATCACAATTCAATCTTTTTCGTGTCCTCGTCACAGCATCTATTGGATACGTACATCTATTATACTGCTACACACATCCCGAGACGATATTCCGCAGGACTTGACGATGATTATTGCCATAGTAGGTACACGCGCGTATAATAATATAACGTACACGATATTATCAGAAGTGTTTTCATGTTCCAAATCAATGTTTTGACGATAAATCATTCGTTTGCCATCCTTACACGATAATTTGTCCATATATTTATATGAGATTATACGTCTATATGTATATATAATATTATATTATCGTCATACTTTTTGTTATATTATTATTTTTGTTTAATTAATTTTGTGGTGCTCTATCACGGCTGGAAATATTAAAATGTAATACATATTATTATTATACAATGCGCATTACGCGTGTATATTGCAGTACATACCCGTGTATAATATCATTATGATGTAATCGGTGAGAAATGAATGGAATTTTTTCTGTCCGAGTCTCGACATTCCAGACGTATTAACGTATTGCATATTATTTGTATTTATATTATTGTTTTCTATTAATCATATTTATGTTATAAATTTAGACTGATTATTGCGTAGTAATTGTATAATCTGAATTCCAACCCCGACATTTTTCTCGTTAGTTGATCCCCTAACCCCTCGCCATCGAGAATTGATTATACATTTTCTAATACATTTGTTTTTACATCCGTGGGTTTGCTTTCATTGCAAACTTTACACGGAAAACGGAACTGTGTTCCATTTTATTGTTTACACGCATAGAAAATAAAAATATAACGTATAAATCCGCGGTAATGGGTAATGTATACCCCATTCATAATACAGTTTAACCATCATTAATCACCCTACCGCCCTTTTTCTCCAATACAAAATTTTATTATATACTTAAGTTTAATGAATAAAAACAAAGCTCACTGATAATATAATACTTATATATATAAATATATATATATATAATAGAAGTGTCACATTTATTATTATTATTATTATTATTATTTAAAAAAAAACATTAAATCATAAATTATTATTATTATTATAATTATTGCTAATTTTGTATAACCACATAAAAAAAAAAATATTTATTTTTAAAAAGAAATTTATACTTAAAATATATTGTAAAATTATTGTTATTGTAACTATATATATATATATGTTATTTATGTTGTATATGTATTTTTTCTTTTTTTTTTTTATGTAGTGTTATTATAGATAATATTTTTGTGTGAAAAAAACTATAAATACACATGCGTGTTATAAAACAGCTGATATATTATGTGTATATTTCGAAAAGAACTGTACAATAAACTCGTGATCTTAGTCAATATTATGAAGCCTTATATTATTTTCTTCCGTCGTGTTTGTTGTTTATAATAATTTTATAACGTATATAATATTATTATGCATAACGGTCTAATATATGTGTTACATATTATATTATGTAGGTGAGGTTCGCGTCTCACCGAGGTCGTGACTACCTATATTACATATACGTAAACATATTGAACGGTAAACGTATTATCTCAACGGTATAGATATTTGTCGGTGAAAAAAGCATTTTCTAGTGAAATCGAGATGAAAATCGAATAAAATCCTACACGCGCCGCCCGTACGTCACACTGGAATCACTAAATATATATAATATATACATATATATATAAATGCACATATCCTGTTTGCTGCGGTCCAGCGGGGTGTGGGAGTGGAATCTGTACGAGTCAAGCCACCGTCGGAGGACACTCTAAAAAAAAAAAAAACAACTACGGCGGATATCGGGGGAGGGGAATTAGTCTAAAAATAGCAACAGGCTTACGCTTGTGTGTTGGGGAGGAGGAGAAGAGGTCGTATAAAAAATGTATCGATTTTATGGATCGATCACGCGGACCACTAAAATCGTGTTTAAGGGAGCTAAGGAGACCGGTATCAGCTCTCGCTGCGTATTATTAATAACAATATGCGCGCGTGTATAATATTGATATTATTGACTCGTTAAACGTCTTTGGCGATTTGTTCGTGCGACCCGCCGGCATAAGTTTATTAGGTTACGGGCAATATATAACGCATAGCCCCGCGATTTGGGTATTACATTATGTGAAATTAATACCGACTAATTCGTATATTCAGTGGTTAAAGTAGAGGGGGACGGAGTACCCCTTCTTATTTGCGGTAAGGTAATGCGTCCCCTTTGATTCAAGTATCCCAAGTCCGGATGGGGGGGGGGGGAAGCTTAAAAAAAATTGTATAATAAATTTAAGTTGCATGTTAATTTTTAATAATTTATTAAATGACTTACGCAGACATACACATTGATTAATCACCGAATTCAAAGTATTTAAAAGTTGATAAGTTATAATATTTTATTGAGAAATTGAGGACCTTTATAATTTAAATAAATATATTCTTATATGATATTATAATATTTATATAGGTAGCTTATGATATGTGATATAATAATTAAAATTTAAACAAATTATTAAACTGAAAGAATATGAATAGTGATATTTATTACAAATTATTTTTTATTTATTTTTTTAATGAAATGTGAATACATTTATTTTAAATTTCAGGCAATGAATTGCAATTTATTTTTTACTTAGCAGGAGCATTATATATTTATAAATTTCACATACTATTAACATAATAATTAGCGTTTATACCTATATAGTAGGCTTCTTAAAATTGGTTAGACATAGATTTAAGAATAAAAACTCGGGAACGCTGTTCAATTTCTGATGACTTCAGTTCCCCCCTCAACATTTTTCCCACTCTAACCGTCGCGTATATCCGGTCCAAGGGTAACCTATTATCGCGTATCATCAATACGACACTACGGTTATGTGCTGTCTGCGGACTGCGGCGCGGCGACCACCGTGCCCGCGCACACGATTCGGCGACGGCGGCGGCGGCGGCGGTGTCCTGCTACGAAATTAAAAAAATAAAATAATAATAACAATAAAACTCGAGGCCGCCGCTCGCGTTGCAGTGTCCGACGCGGCGACGGTCTCGCCAAAGGTCGACCGCGCCCGCCGCAATCAAATACACGACGCGTACATTATCGTTACAACGCGCCTGATTGGCGCGCACAATCACGTCGGGTATAACACTAATATCACAACGTCTTGTAACCCATTTCTCGTGTTAAATAAATGTGGCATTGCACGCGCGGCAATCGCCGCTGCAGTGGATAGGACACTGCAGCCGGCAGCGACGTGCAGGCTACAGGCAAGCCCGGGTTTAGGGGGGGGGGGCAAGAGGGGCCAAGTCCCCGGGGCCCATAGTTTTCTCGGTTTAAAATTACATTAAGTGATAATTTGTACATTTTATAGTACCTACATCAGTACCTACAAAAATATTTTTATTTTTTTCTTGTTTGAGCTAACGGTCGATGGGGCCCGTCGACCGTGTTTACCACCAATAGTATGGTAAGCGGGGAAACATAGCGTCATAGCCAGGTTTGTGTTTGTCGGGAATAGGCATATATTTTGATATTACTGTATTTAAAAATAGAATTGGGAAAATGTGTTTATGTGACTTTCGATAAAAATATAATATATTTATCCTCATCAATCGTTATCATACTTAAATAAAAATGTTTAAATTTGTTTTATTGTATAATTTTATGATTTTAAAGAACTGTTTTTTATTGACTGGGGCCCACGACAACCCCCAGTATTGGCCCCTGGGCCCCTGGAGCACTTGATCCGGGCTTGGCCCCTACAGGTGTCCGCGTAGCGGGCGGCGCATAATGTGCAACGATTGCGATACGTGTAATTATACCATAGTGATGTCGATGTGATACGTGTGTGCGCCACGTGCGTAAAGGTCGCTCGGATCTCGCGATAAAACGGTCGTGATAAATAATATTATGTTGTAGCTAGGTGCATCGCGTTTGCGGGCGGCGAGCGATCGAAAAACGCGAGAGAGGAAAAATAAACGCCGTGTCATGATCGCTGATCGCGTATACCATCATTTACATACCTGTTAAAATAATACGTGTGCTGTGTGTGTGTGTGTGTGTGCGCACACAATACGCCGACGAGTCGGGTTACTCGACGGCTCCTCGAGGTGGTGCGAGGGGCCACGGCCGTCCGGGATGCGAAGTCGATACAACGACTGCAGCCGCAAAACCGCGCGATGTGTGTATAATAATATTATATTATTATTATAATAACGTAATGTGACGACGACGACGACCTATAACGTTTAAATTCGCGGAGCTAATAATTTTATTATACGACATTGGGTCATCTACGCGACGTCATTAATAATTATTATTGTACCGAGCGCGTACGTCGTATCATTACGTCGACGTTGTATACGTCGTGCGCGTATAATAATATATACGTATAGAGGTAGGTATACCTAGCCCCGTCAGCCGGTGCGTTACCGCACTCTCGGCTGGCCGTCGTAATGATAGGTGTTTAAGGACGATCGTCCTTCGGCACGACCGCGTGTGTCGACCAGGGGCGGACCCCGGCGTGAAAAATCGGTCCGGGCGATCGCGAAGGCCCCCAGCCGCTTGTAGGTATTAACGTATTGTATACAAATAGCATTATACCAGCATTTCTTAATAGTAATAGTCTAGACAGACAGAATTAGTGGCTATCCTCCTCTCTCCCGACTGTGTTCAATCGTCATCATCGTTTGGTCTGTTATATAGCTAAATACAATTTTCAAATCAATTTTTGTGTCCTTGATTGTCAACCAAAATATACAATTTTTACCGTGGTCTACATTATCGTAAGACCGGAAATCCTAACAGCCCAGGGGACGATCGCCCACCCGCGGGATCCGAAACACGCACGTGTACAGACACCTGCACTGTTATAAAGGGTATATAGTGTGCATGGGCGTAGTTGGGATTT